GAGAGAGATGGCATCACTCTGGAAGGATGTGAGGCTCAGAGCAAAGTAAAGAAATTCCCAGATCCAGGAGTCCAGGGAGTAGGGCTGCTGCAGGCAGGTTCTTTTCAACCACAAGGAGGTTCAGTCAGACACTTCATACATTATCTCTTTAATTAAAAAAAAAAAACAAAACTAAATTTTTAAGTTTAAATTTTAAAACACATAAAATGTAGAAAATCCTAGAGGTGAGGGTATGGTGTGGAGGGCAGGAGCTTGGGTCTGTCTTGGCGCCTTTAACCTCCCTTTACATGACCCACCCTCCTACATGACTCTTCTTGCCAAGTACACAGACAGATGTTGCCAATGTCTGGACCGTAATATTTTGCTGAATCAAGCCTCAACTTTTTCCTACTGCACACATTCCAGGTTAGCCATAGCCTGGAATAGTACACAGTGTTTCCAACACCTTCCCTGCTAAGAAAAGCTTCTAATGTAACCCTGCCTTCCAAGTGCCTGTGAGCGACCGCTTGGAACATGCTTCCTCTGGTCGAGCCTCTCGAGCCACAAGACTACTGCTGCCTTCCCAAAGCCAGTGAAACGAGTGACTCAGCCTGACTCGGCTCTGTTTTCTTCTTTCCAGCCTCACAGCCCTGTCTTGTACTGCTTCTCTTCCAGACAGAAGGCGGAGTGATTGGTAGGAAACATACTTCCTTTGTCACAGGGTACTTACACAGGGGGACAGTTTACGGAAAAGAGCGGCCAGTGAAATGCTGGGTTTCCCCAGGCTGTCAGAAAACTATGGGCCACAGAGGCAGCTTACTGTCCGGTATGGCTTCCTTCTCAGAATGCTGAATATGTGGGAAGTAAACTTCCTGAGGATTAATGTGACCTTGGAGAACCAGACCTACACTAATAACTGGCTTATAAAAGGAGAGAAGAAATCAAATGACCCCCCATCTCCACATGATCACAGCACATGTGAGAGAAATGTTCGAGTTACAGTAGTAAGCTTACAATTTCGTCCTCTTTGCCCTTGAAATATGTTCACCCCTATCGGTTCCCTTTTGTGTCACGTCCCATTCTGTAAAAGAGCTTACTGTACATTCTAATTTAAGTGTGGCAATTCATGATGAAGCAGGCTGCTCATTCATCTGGCTGACAATACAAGACCAAGCACACGCTGCACAGGTACACAGGATTTGCAAGTGCAAGGAGGCTGCTAGTTTCTGACTGTCACCCCTGGAGGGACCCACTTCTGTTCACACAGGCCCGTGACTAATAAGAGGAAAACCTGGCCATGATTTGCATCCTTATTCCGGAAACCAAAAGGCTAGATAAGGGTGGCTGATGCAAAGTGTGTGGCCAGCATGACAAGGAAGACGCCGTGTGGGCATCCATCCCCAAACCAGTTCCGTGGGACTCGGGGGAAGGCCAGCTTTGATTTGGAATAATGACTGACATCTCCTGGGCAGTTACAACCTAGCATTCTTTTGTTCTAATGTGTTTGTGTTTTAACTGAAGTGAATTAAATCCTTTTTTAAAGTTGATTTTCAAAAAACTTCTGGGATAACTAGAGGTATTCAATGTCATAAGACTAGGACTGGAAATCATGGCTTAGAAAGTGACCAGGTAACAGTCTCTCCACTAAGCAGAAGCTGGTTAGAATTGCATGTTTATCTATCATGAGCCTGAGTCAGGTAGAGAGAGTTGGAAATAATGGGACATACAGAGACAGAAGAACATGGAAGGAGAAGAGACAAAAAGGACAGAGAATATACTCTACCTCACTGAAACTAAGACTGGATCAACTGAAAGTTAAATTAGTCTTTAATGTTCTATTAAGGAATAAAATGCTGCCCATAAAACTAAGATGTTAAAATGTTAAAAAAAAAAAAGTTATACCTTAAAACAGATGAACTACAACACATCAAGACTTTGAGATCAGCGTCTCATGGGGGAGAGAGCCAGGGCTCCTCCAGCTTCAAGGAGCACAGGAATGCCCTGCAGAGCTTATTAAAACGCAGAGTCTGGTTCTGCAGGTCTGGGGGTGGGTCCTCAGGTGCTGCATTTCTAATGAGCTCCCAGGTGAGGCCCCTGCTGCCTTCCAGGAGCCTCACGTTTGTAGCCAGGATGAAATCCCCCACATTTCAGCTCAGAACTAACACACTGGTGGCAGCTCTTGCGAACAAAAAATTACACGGGATTCAGGGACTCAGAAAACATGGGCATCATTACCAGGACCACATCCGTAACACTTACCAAACCATTACTTTATGCCAGGCATGCTCTAAGCCCTTTACATGCACGACCCCATCCAATCCTCATCACCTCCCAAGAAGAACCAGATCCACTGGCGCCTCCATTTACAGGTGCAGACACTGAAGGGCAGAGGTGCCACAGGTGTGGACCCCTACCAGACTGCAGAATGTGGATCAAGCACTCACCCTCTTTTTTTTTTTTAAGATTTTATTTATTTATTTGACAGAGAGAGAGAGATAGCAAAAGCAGGAACACAAGCAGGGGGAGTGGGAGAGGGAGAAGCAGGCTTCCCGCTGAGCAGGGAGCCCGATGCGGGGCTCGATCCCAGGACCC